AGGAGTTGGGAGAAGGGAGTTGAACTATAGCATACAGTGGACTTCTCATTATAGATCTAACTGAGGAGATGAGATTTGAGCAAAGAGTTGAGAATGAGTAAGTCTATGATTGTTGGTTGTTAGGCTGGACATTGAATCTGTATAATTTCTATTGCCTTGACCTGTGAATGGCTTCATAGCCTCAGCATTTGTCCTATTTTGGATACTAAGAAAGTAAGGTTAGAGAATATGTAGGAGCAACAATTAATAACATGGGAGCCTAGAATCAAATCTAACCCTTCTTTATCTCCTCTGTTTTGCAATGAGTAGTCATATTGTTCCAGAGCTGGGGACTCAGTAAAACTGAGAGAGCATGAAGTTCCCTTTCATCCTGATTCTTGTGATCAGGCTAGAAAGATTTCAGATATTTGCTCAGAGTAACAGATATGTTTATTAGAAGAGATAGGAGAAAGGAAAAGTGGTCAGTTTAAGGGAGAAGGGGGTCCTCTCAGAGAGGAAGGAACAGCATGACTTTCCTGCCCTCCAGTTTTATTGAAGGTCCCAGGGAAGTTTTCAGAGAGCCCTGCCCAGATCCATCTCTTGAATTTTGACTTACAACAGAATGACATCAGACTTTTAAGTCCTCTCTGCCATGACAACTCTAGGTCACTTTGGCCCATGCTGACTGGTTCTAATTGGAACCTGTTCTTAGAGGCTTTATGGTTATGGGAAATTATTTTTATATCCCTGAGTTCTGGGATCTGTTCTCGTAAGGGTCACAGCCCCATCCCCTCATCAGTGCAACTTATGTTATGTTATTATTGGTCTTTGGGACATGAATTTCTTCTGCCTATTACAGGTAGTTTGCTGAGGAATATAACATATCCTATCAATTTAAGCCAGGTATGGCTACAGGTAACTTGTTTTTTAGAAAAGAAAGCATGTGGGTCAGAACAATAGGTTCATTTTATAGAGTCATTCTCTTAACCTCATGTTCCCATTACTTAGGTCTGTCTGCATACTATAAATATTTTGATAATTTCTATAAAATAGTCCTATAAATGTGTTGTTTTAGCAGATTCTTTAATTGGAATACTATCTCAGGCATATTCAAACTTTTAATTTCATTCATTTATACTTCTCCAGATTTCCTCAATCGATAATTATTAGATTTAAATATACCTGTTTTATAAATCACAGATTTGTGAGGTAAAAACATTTATTTTTTATATTTTATGCAAAGTGATAAGCAATTAACATACTTGAGGATATTTTACTTACACTGTGCATTCTTTACAAGAACAACCTATTTTAATAAGATTCAGATGACATTGTATAATTCAAAATTATATAATCAATGTTTGATTCTTTTCATATGCATTTCTATTTCAGAATTTTTCTCTTCTTAGCTATAAGTGATATATATATATATACACACACACATATATTTATCTGTGTATACATAAACATTTTTAATAATGAAGAAGTAGCACATAATGTTTGTTAGTATTTATTTAGTATTGATAATGGTATAGACAGCTTTTATAAAGATTTTTAAAAAGCCCTTGGGACCATGGTTATGGCTCATTGTGGCTTAAGAGCATGTGTGAGGCACTGGGTTCGATTCCTGGCACCACATAAAAATAAAAACAAATAAAATAAAGTTATTGTGTTCATCTACAACTAAAATAATAATAATAATAATAATAATAATAATAATAATAATAATAATGTCCTTTCTCACCAAACTGTCTTAATAATAGTTTAAATGCAAACTAAATAGATTTATGAGGAAAATATTTTCAGAAAAATATCCACAAAGGGAAAAATACAGTTTAAAAAATATCATTAATGGTACAGTTCTTCTATACTACTCTTTCTCTAATAGTCCAGAGTTATGAGAATTGGTATTCATTCAGCTAATGGCCATCTTGCTAGAAGCTGAAATTTTTGATCCTCAGATATACTTCTGTTCCAAAACTATGTTTGTTATGTTAGGCTAATGGGTTGGAGTTCATCTTCATTAAGAGGATGTTCTTTAACAATCTTTCTAATCACTTTGTTTCATTTAAACTGAGACCTTAACTGTCCCAATGCTGATGCTAATAGCCAGAAGGGAATTATCCTTCTTATCATGACTGCTTTTACCTGACTCGAAAATTGGAATAGAAAAGTTTTATTAAGACTTGTGTTTCCTGGTACATGATAAACAACCAAAAGAAGAAGAACAATGACCCATGTTCACCTTCCATCAGCTTTCCTCTCCTTTTCATTTGTTCTCTTCATAATGGTCTAATATTTTCAAATTTTAGTGTACGAGTCTGAGTTTTAATGAGGATCTTTAAGTCTGTGGAAAAAATTAAATGTATTTTATGAACATAAGTGAACATGACCTTGAAATAATAGTTAATATAATTTCATCTTTAAGACTACATGATTAAATCTTTTCATTTAAAATTGTTGTGTAAACTTGTAGATCTTTTTGTGTTGTCATTTCTACATAACCCAGGAGGAAGGTAAGCAGGTGCCATTAACTTGACATCACTGGTATATTTATAAGGAATGGGAACCATGATCAAAAGCTGAATGAGTAAAATGCAGAATCACAATGAGGGAGCAGGTGGTTTATAGACAATGGTATGATTTTTGCAACCAAATGTAATGTGTTTGTCCCTTGTTGAGTGCAAAGTTGATAAGCTCAACCAGGAGATAAAAGAGTGAAAAAAGGCTAATTATTTGTTGCAAGAAGTACACTGAAGGTAATTTCAAAGCAGTGTCTTGTTGGACAAAACAAACAATGGGATTTTATTGGACGATTCATGCATATTAATGTAGGAAATACTTGCCATCACATATAGAGGTGGGCATATTCTTGAGCATTTCAGTTCAAGGTCATACTTAACACATTAAAAATGATGGATAGAAATGCTTTCTGGGTAAAGAAATTAGTATTATAATGAGCAGAGTTTACTCTGTTATGGTTTTGACCTTATGTGTCCCCCGAAGGCTCATGTGAAGGCATGGGCCCCAGGGCAGCAGTTTTCAGAGGTGAGGCCTTCAGAAGGTGACTGAATTATGAAGACTCTGGCCTCAATTATGTATTAGTCCATTTATGGTTTTATCACTTAGTGGGTTTGTGGGGAAGGGCCTTTGATAAAAAAGTGGTTTCTTTGGCTTGCCAGCTACCATGAGATAAGCAGCTGTATCTACCATGTTACTTGCCATGATATTCAACCTGACCATAGGCCTAAAGCAATGGAAATAGCTAAATAGACTGAAACCATAAGCTAAAATAAATCTACCCTTTTTTAAGTTGATTTTCTCAGGTATTTTCTCATAGCATCAGAAAGATACTAAAATATTAGGATACCTAAAAAGAATGACACAGAGTGTTTTTTTTTTTTTTTGGAAGTTTCTCTAACGGACCTTATCTGAAATAACAAAAACATTTAAGAGACCATTAGCATTTATTTAGAAGCAGCAGTTTTTCTCCTCCATAGGCATAGAAGATTGCTCATAAAAGTACCTTCTTAGCATATAATAGGTTTTTTTTTCAATCAAGAAAGTAATATTATTTTTATTTTCTTCCTTTTATAAGTATGAAGATATGCATTTTTATGATGCCTTATTAAACTCAGGTTGTTTACCTAGATGATAAGTGGTTTTCTGTATTATCTTTTTGAGATGAACATTCATAATGATTATCATAAAAATATAAACAACTGTTCATGTAGCTAATGCCCCTCTGTGGAATGATTTGGTTTTTCCATTGTTAGCCTGATTTCTATGGGAAAAATTTCTACGCCCTCTATCTTCTTTGGTGTTATAGATACTTCTCTATGATCTGTGTTTGGTGTGACTTCTAAGAAAAGATTTACAGTTGTGGAGGTATAGATGTTAAGAATTATGAGTTTATTTACTATTTGTTATAGTGCATCTTTGTTTTAACTATAACAACTGTTGGATTCTATACTTTCCTTTATATTCTCACTGATTAGCTTAAAGAAGTGAAATGGTAACTGTTTGCAATATGATAATTTGGTACAGGAGTTTTACTTTTAAGAGAAAGAACTTTAAGAACATTTCCTCTTGACTTTGCAATCTACATATTGCACATGTTACACTTTGATTTCTTAAGATAATTTTATATCATTACCTGTACCCAGCATGATTAAACAATAAAAGCATCATCATAAATTTTTGTTTAAACAAAATATATGGTTGAGAAAACGAGAATAGCCTTGTAATTTTTCTATTATGATCTTTCAGCTTTGAAAATTATATGACAAAAGGGGATAACATGTTCTTAAAATCATGTCAGCCAAATCACTGAAATGTCTTTTCATTTATCTTTAAGTGTTTTTCTGTTGTGTGTTGGTGTTTATTTTTGCTGGTAATAAATGATATTTACCAATTATTATCATGTTCTTTTTAATTATTATATTTTGCTTATTACTGGGGATTAAAACCCTAGCACTTGTGGTTTTTAAATTTTGAGACATGGTCTCACTAAGTTTTTGAGGCTGGCCTGGAAATTGCAGTCTGCTTCCCGAGTTGCTGCAATTACAGGCTTGTATCACTGTGCCTGGCTTAACAATGATTTTTAAAGACTTGAGTTCAAGGTACAGGATCTGGATAGATAATTGGTAAATATTCTGGGAGTCAGTTGTTAAATCACTAGCAGTTTAAAACCAGCCATGGTATAAACATTTGCACCAAAACAATTAGCAAGTGCTTGGAATTTCTCTTATGATCCCTTTTCTTTTTCCCTATAGGTAGTTACTAGCACCCTACTGCCTTTGCCAAGTATTGTCCATTTTTATTCTATATTATGTTATACATATAAATACCAGCCACAATTTTCAAAATTTTATACCAAGTAATGTTGCCTACAAACTAGCATCCTCTAAAAAATTTAATATGAATAGTTTTTAATGTATGCTAACATTTATTGTCATACTATTTAAAATAATTTATAATAGAGAACAAAGTGTGAAATAATCTATGTCTTTTGTTTTTAGTGATTGTAAAAAGTGGAAATATCATTTCTTTTGTGGCTTATATTCATTCTGGATATTGTAACATTTATAGAAGTATGATAGGACTTATGAAACTACAAACAAAGAAAGTGGTAAGTTTTAAGCATGTGGATTTTCTTTGATAATTAATCTACTTAAATGAGTGAAGTGTTTCTAATATATTTTTTCATACTTATTGAGCATTAGTTTGTATTCTTTGTGAAATATCAGTTTAATTTTTTGACCTTTTTTGTGTGTCTTTTTATATTGAATTTGTAAGATGTAAGGATAAATAAGGTGTAAGACAATACTTATTGAGTTATAAGACTAATCAATAAATACATTACAAGATGGTTGACCTCTTTATCAGATAAATACTATTTCAAATCATATCAAGGTACTACTATAAACATATCAAATTGGCTATAATATGCTTTGTCATATGATCCAGCAATTCCAGAAATAAAAATATGTATCAACATAAAGACTTGCATCAGTTCTCATAAGCCAAAAGCAGGAAGTAATCCAAGTGTCCAGTGGCAGTTGAATGGATTAAATTATTGTGGTATATTTATGTAATAGAATGCCACACAGTAATCAAAGGAACACATGAGACAAAAAGAATATGCAGGAATTTCAAACTTATTAGGCTAGGTAAAAAATGTCAGACCCCAAAGAGTACATTATAAAGATTCTATTCTTATGAGTCAGGCAAACAACTAATAGACAGTGATAAAAAAGAACTAAACTCTATTGGTCAGATGATCTTCAATAGAATTCAATTAAATAACGAAACTGACTTGAAATCTACTGTACCAGTCAGATGCAGTGTAAAGATCTGCCATTTATAGATATGGCAGAGATTCCAGCTATGTTGGCTCTGACTCCAGGATATTTGGTAAAGACTTCTACTTTTTCCAAGTTCCTATCACCTTCCTACCCTGAAGGCTGCATTCTGTTTTTATATATCTTACTGCTCACCAAATCATCCTTGTTTCAATACTGAGTAGATCTCTGAGAAAAGATAATTTAAATTCTCCATTTTTTCTCCAGAACCATCTATACTGAAATTGTGGTAGGTCTTTCTCCCCAAAGTTTCTAATTGGAACATAAATTGCTGCTTACTTTATTGATTTATATATTTTTATTTTTTCAAATTTAAACAAGGAAGGCAGGGGAGAAGCATTTTACATCATCAGTTCTGCCTGTGATACTTTCCACTTATTTTGTTATTACCGTGTTAGTCTGGTAGCTAGCTGTTCTTTACATTCGGGGCTGAGGTAACAATTATAATTCAGAAAACATCCTAAGCAAGCTCTGATTTTAAAATGGTATCCTAGGAGCTTGAAAGATTGAATTAGTTCAATATTTCCTAGACAACTTCATGGGTTAAAAGTTTTAATTGGCAGATCATTAAATAACACTGCTGTCAGTTTCTTAGATATACTGAAGTTGTCTATGAATTTACTGTTGCTCTAACATAAACACATGTAGGAATTAATATATCCTCTGATTTTATGAAATTGCTAATATACTTACATAGTAAAATTATTTACGAATAAGTGAGTTTCTGATAATTATAATAGTTATTCATTGTATGCAAATAGTTTCAATAGATATCAATTATCTTTTACAGAAAAAAATTCGAAAACTTGTTTATATGGGTACACTTAAGAAAAATGAGTCATTTGGTGAGATCAGTGTTCTTCTTCAAGTTCCGTTCCCTTGCACAGTCATTGCTGGAACAGAGGTCGAGGTGGCAATCATTGAGGATAAAGACATATTGGGTAACACATAAATGTCTTTTAATGTTATGCCATTTTATTGGCTGAAATTTTGTATTTTATAGACAACTTAGGACACTCAAGCGTGTGTATATATGTTTATTAAAGAGACAACATTTATATTGATAGAGAGCCCCTTTGATATCATATTGGGATTCAATTATGCTACTTTAAGATATACTAGTAATACTTTAAAAGACTTTGATTTGAAATTAATAAAAATCTCTGCTAATTTCCAGTTACCCAAAAAACCAATATTTCCTCCTTTTTTTGAACATCTTTTAGCTTTCACATCTAAGGTCATTGCTTTTATGTTTTTGTTTAGATCAAGTATGTAATATTCTTACTGTTCCATCTAGATCAAGAATATATAAAAAGCTATCTCTTACAGAAGTTAAGCCTTTTTCTGAAAATTTAGAGCTCTAGGAATAAGAAAAGTATAATCATGTTTCTGCTGGTATTTGGTCCTCAAATATTATAAGTACTAAAACAAGCTATGCAATTGTGAATGAGGAGAATTGAATAATAATTAAGTGACAACACGATGGAATATTAAAGTGTAGCTTTTTATACAATAAAGCTAAAGAATGTCAAACATTGGATAAAGAATAAGAGAAATTTGTAGAAATTAACATGGGTGAGAAGTTTGCTTATATAAATTTGAAAGATTTTCATGTTATTCATGTGTAATTTGACAGAATCCTCTTATCCTGAATTTCAAGTATTTTTCTGTCTCCTAGAGAATGTACAACCCACACTTGTTAACTATGATTTGCAATGAAAAGAATAATTCAAATTCATGTATCCACTTTTAAAAGTTGTAAAATGTCATAAATTTGGAATGACATTTGTTAATTTTTTTTTCCTCTGTGATATTCAAATACAACCTCTCCCAAGGTAAATATCACTTAAAAATAATTACTAACCACAGACTAAAATTATAATATTCTCACTTGATATAGGCCATGTTTTTCTTTTCCTATGCTAATTGGTTAACTGGTCCAAAGCAAATACACTGTGGACACTTTTATGTAAATCAATATATCACACATTGTATTCTTTAGGATTCCCCAGAGAAACAGAACCAATTTGCTATGTATAAATATATAAGAGGAGATTTATTGTGGGAATTGGCTCATGTGATAATGTGAGATCATGATGTCAGATGTCATGTCATGATGTCAGATATGCTGTTTGTATGCTGGAGACTTACAAATCCAGTGTTGTAATTTGGGGCAAGTTTGAAAACCTGAGAACTGAGGGAGCTGATGGTGTAACTCCCAGTCTGAAGCCACAATTTCTAACACTTGTGTATGTGTGGGGTGGAGGAAGCTTGTGTAAATCCTGGAATCTGAAGGCCTTTGAACCAATACATCCAAGAGAAGAAGAAACTGTCTGTGCCAGCTGAAGATGAGAGATAATTGATCCTCCCTCTGCCTTTTTGTTTGATTGATGCCCTCAATGTATTGGATGTTGCTTGCTCACAGTGGTGACAATGGATTTTCCGTACACACTCTACTAATTCAAATCTTAATCTTTCTTAGAAATATCCTTACAGATATACCTGGAAATAGGCTTTTATAATTCATATGAGCATTCCTTAATCCAAAATGATACATCAAAATAATAATCAAATACATGAAAGTGTTTCTTTCAAGCAAATATTAGAATCTGTTTTGTCATATGACAGCCTAAAATTCAAATAGATGGCATAAGCTTAAATTTAACTGTGTTGTATGTGTGCTATTCATACTTTAAATATTATTTGATAAACTATTCATTTGAGAATGATGTTATAAAAGATACTGACATGGTCATGTGGGCCTAATTAACTTCCCTAAAGAGAACTGAGCTTGAGGGCTTTTCTTTACTTTGCCACAGCTTACAAGGAAATAACACACTGGGTATATTACAAAACATATTTTTTTTCTTCATTCTAAGTATTTTGTATCTTTTCAAAGGGAGTTAAATTTTAAAAGAGAAATGATTCTAATAAAATGGTGGTTAATTTTTCAAAAAGAAAGATGATCTTTAGGGTTGGGGTTGTGGTTCAGTGGTAAAGCACTTGCCTAGCATGCACGAGGCACTGGGTTCAATCCCTGGCACCACATAAAAATAGACAAGTAAAATAAGATCTAGTGTTCACCTATAACTAAAAAGAAATTTAAAAATAAAAACAATCTTTAGTTTGTGTTTTCACATTTATTTATTCTATCTCCTTTTACATTGCTCTTTTTATCATCTAAAATATGGGCATATCTCTACAAAGTGACATGGGATAGGACCCCCAAAATGTGAAATGAACCTTAAAAATATCAGGTTGTAGATAAATGAAAATGATACAAACCTGTCATCTTGCTATCAAGGGTTATTATTAGCTATTACACTACATTGATGTGAGGAAAGAGAACAGTTTATCTGATTGTGATTTTTAATGAAGATAATATATTTTTGTCCAGATGAATTTATACCTTAAGTAATTTAAAGGTAATGCAAACATAACTATTTTAATTTTACTGATTTCTTTAATTCTCTTTCTACTTTAAAACAAGCATATAACTTTTGTAATGAAAAAGAATTACTTTGTATATAAAAATGAATTTACCACTATTATTTATTATATCTCATTCAACCATGTATGATTTAAAAGTAAGGGATAGCTAATAGATTTAGCTTATCTTTCTCCAAGGAAAATTCAATTCCAAGCTGACTTTGGTACAAACTACCTGAAAGTGTTTTTGTTTGTTTTTCAACAGGAAGAATTTCCAAACACATTTATTTCTCATAATGATTCACTTGATCAATAGCATAAGATATGAGATTTTTTTACCCCCTATAAATAGGCCTGATAGTCTCTTTAGGGGCACTGAATATATTCTTTCTAAAAATACATCAATATTTTTCCTGAATGCTGAGACAAGTTATAAGCAAGTTTCTCCTTATTAACAATGCTAATCAAAAGAGTTTTAACTCTTGAACAGTTGTCCCAAGAAATATGTTTCCCTTTTGTTCTTTGTTTCTGCTTTGTAATAGAAATTTTGATGTAAAAATGCATTCAAGTTAAAAATAAAACATAGCACTCTTTTTAAAAAACAGGATAAAAATAAGATGTTCTCCGATGATTCTTTTAAACTAATTGTTAATCATGTTGAAAGAGAAAATGCAAATAAATTTTAGTAAAATTTTTACTTTATTTAGCAAAAAGCTTTGTCTACATGAAAAAAATGCATAACATAAAAGTGTTACTCAGTATGTATTTTATAAATAAATATATTGAAGAACTGTTTATGTAATAAGGAAACCAGCTAATCATTTTGAACACCATACTGACATTTAAATGTAATCCTTAGTTGGTAAAATTAAATTTATCTTATAAATTATTATACACCATAAATTTTTATAAGTATGTGTACATATGAACTGGGGATATAGCTCAGTTGGTAGAGTGCTTGCCTTGCATGCACAAGGCCCTGGGTTCTATCTCCAGCACCACAAGAAAAAAAAAAAAAGGAATTAAAGACAACATGAATCAGAAAATAATGTTTACCTTAATATGTTATATGTTATATCATGTGTATCCATCTATCTATACACATACACTTAAATTTGTCTTTTAAATGAGTAGTTTCCCAAACAAAAATATTAAACCATTTCAATTTGTAGAGTTTGGGATGACTGAGTTAATTTTAGGATTTTTTTTTGAATGACAGAGTTGATATTAGCTCTTATAAGACAAGCAACAATAAGATATCAAATAATGTGTTTCCACTTTCCTATGTGCTGGTGTTAAACCTATACTACAATTGAATATACTTGTTCTACCCAACTACTTGGGAGAGTGAGGCAGGAAGATCTCAAGTTCAAGGCCAGCCTGTGCAACTTAGTGAGACCCTGTCCCAAAATTAAAAATGGCTGGTGATGTAGCTCAATGGCAGAGCTCGCTTGGTTTCAATCCCATTACTGCCAAAAGAAAAGAAAAGAAAGTAAAAGAAATTATGGTTCTACTATGAAATGTAATCTCTGATGAATTTTATGTACAGTGACTCAAATGTTCTATAATTGCATTATCATGCTACATCCCACAATAATATCTAGTTGTCAGTGGGTTTATTTGTTATTGATAAAAATAATATCACAAATTTTTTACATACTTAAAGTTTAAATATAATTTGTTTACTAGTATAGAAAAATTTAAAATTAACATCTCTCTGGGGTTTTTGTTTTATGTGACAGACAATATTGCTGGATATCCAATAATTCATTTACTGAACAAGTAAAATTTAAAGAAAGAATTCACAAAGGATTTATTGTGTCTTTTTCTTTGGTTTTTGTTGTTATAGATGTTCTTTCCTTGTCCTTTGAAATTTCAGTGTAATGATTTCATGATCACTTTTAAGTTATAAAATATCCTGTAAGCCATTTTTAGTTGCAAAATATTCTTAATTAAGATTTTAATAAATCTAGCCTGATAAGATGTAAGTATATAAACTTGATTTAAGGTTGATAGGCTTGCAGCATGCTTGTATTAGTTTTCTCTTGCTGAATAACAAATCACCATAAATTTATCAGCTTAAAACAACACTCATTTACTATCACAGTTTTGAAGATCAGATGTCTGGACAGCTTGACTCATTTCTATTCTCTGGTTTCACTTAAATGAAATAAAAATTGTTAGTCAGATAAAACTCTAACACAGAGTCTCTGAAGAATAGTCCACTTACAAGCTCATAAAAATTTCAAAAAATTTAGCTCCTTAGCAGCTATAGATCCGAGGTCTCTCTTTTCTTGCTGGTTGTCAGCTCATGGTCATTTTCTACCACTATAGGATGCCTCACCCATATCATCCTCTCAGTCTCAGCAATAAAGACTTGCCTCTACTGAATTTTTCTTGCATTTTAAAATTTTCCTACTTTTCTCTCTCTGTTAAAGAAAAGCCTTTGCTTTTTAAAGAACTCATGTGTTTAGATTTGGACCCACCTGGATATCTCCTTATTCTAAGGTCA